CCTCGAGAGAGAGAGAGAGAGAGAGAGAGAGAGAGAGCGAGAGAGAGAGAGATGTTTCTTTTATTGTTGTTCAAGGTTCCAAAAATTCTAAAATTGTTTCTTGCAATAAATAGATGTCGCAGGAATTATTCTGGAGGGGAAACACTGAAGCACAAGGTTTTTGAAGTGAACGGCATAACCAGACTAAACATGATGTCACCCTCTTTTTGAATGTTGATCTAAATATAAAAGCATCTGCAAAGTAATAAATGTAAAAAATGATTTCATTGGTTTATTTTGATCATATCTTTGTGGCTTGTGGTGCAAGTACAGCATTAGTCAGGTCAGCATAAGGTATTTATATAGAGATAATGAATTATGCATATGTGGTCGGAAGTAGGATCTATTTGTCATCTTAATGTGTCAGGCTAATTGAATACACGCAAACTATGTCGTAACTATGTCTTTTTCATAATGCAATTCCTATATAATTTTGAATTCAGTGCATATATGGATATCGCTGCATAACTTGAAATGTGTATTTCTGTTGACATAATATGACATTAATACACCAATGTTTTCATATCAGTGGTTATGTCGTGGAATGAGAAAAAATGGGACACCAACAGAGACATTCTTTACCTTATTGGTTTTATTTCCTCAGTCTGCACATCAGAACACAAATTTAAAAAGCCACAAATGTCAGGTCTGAGACATTTAATTAGGCATGTTATTTCACCAAAATCACCTAGCGCATTGTAGGGACTGTATTTGATTGTTAGAGGAAGCACTATTGATCTGACAAAAGATTAATGTGTGCTCAGACATACAGTAATTAAACTCTGTCAGCTCTGCTGTTGCCTTGTAGCAAGTCTTATATTGTTAGCATAACAATTGAGTGAAAAGTGATTGCTTATTTGAATAGTATCCTATTGAAATAGTGAAGCATCCTAAATATGTCTAGAATATTAGCTGATATATTTTAAATATGTATTATATTTATATATAAAATATGATCAGGACTTTTATATAATAATAACTTCCATCATATGGATTGTCCAACAATGGAATGTCCATTTTAAAGGAACCA